TAATACTAATGACATATTGGTCTGAGCGGAATGAGCTCGGTTCTCCTTAAACAAGGTCTCAAGTTCGAGTCTTTTGAATGGAGAAATAAGCATTGGGAGAGCTTCCCCCCTAATGGAGTCCGACGTGGCTCGATTTTGAATTAGTCGAGATCCAATGTAGTTACTGGATATTGAGAGGTTGATACCAAAAATATATATATATTGTATTAATGCCTTTTACTACTAAGTTTCTCTCTCTCCAACTCTAACTTGAACTTTTCCCTTTCCAGCTCTTACTTTAGTCAAGAAAGTTTAGAGTTGACTGATTTTATACTCCTAAACATCTTTCTATATTCTTGTTTCATAAACAAACGAGTACCTAACATAAAAAACTCACTACCATCTTTAACTCCAGGCAAAGTTAACAATACATCCATACATTCTTCAATGCTACTAGTAGGTGCTTCATAGTTATTCTTTAATGATTCACTTAAACTAGCAGAGTCTAACTTTCAAATGCATCACAAAGACGATTTAATTCTCTACATGTATGCTGCACCCCCTGACTTCACTTTCTTTCCTTTACCTATCATTGAACAACCTATTGTGTTTTTCTTCCTTTTTTCATTGTATCTCTCAGTTTGTGTAGCCATGATGTTCACTTCATTAGAATCACCACTTCATCTAAATCAACAGCATCTTCAACCCCCACATCCTGTTGTTTTGGAGGAATAGGACCAGCAACTGGAGTCCATGCAGTTTCACCAATGGCCACTCTTTTAAAAAACATTATCACCAACTATGTCATATTTGCTAATCCATTATGCTCAAACTTAGCATATTTCTTGTTCTCCTATAATAAATATAACATATTAGGAGTTTAAAGTTAAAATTAACATAGTAACATTCAAAAACTCAAAATCATTAATAATAAAAGAATAGTACTAATTGCTTTCAATGCAGCCTATCACTAAAGAGTAGCATTAATTGTACCATTTTCATGATTCCACCCTAATCATAGTTCATGCCTTAAAAGTTGATTCCATAAAACCCAATCACTTTTTAATGCATCCCACATATTTCTTAGTTGTTTATAAATATATTTCCTTTTTGCTCTTTCATTAAGTTTTTCTTCCACATTTCACTACCTTATTTAATTAAAAGTATTATGATCTCTTCTACACATACCTTGTAGAAAATTTTGGTTGTCATTGCATTCCATTGTGCCTTTGTCCTTTATTCTGCCATCTTATATATTGAAACAATTTTGTCCTTAAAACAAGATCTACAAAAACATAGACACAAATGTTGGATTTAGCATTTAATGGAAGTATGAAACCAACATTTTAACTGAATTCAAACTACACCAAATGAGAAAAATATAAGAATTAACAACACTACCAATATTTTAAATCTATGTTTACTTAATTACTCAGTTTGCATCAAACTTTTGATCAAGTCTTCTAGCGTGAAGGCCAGCACATGGTACGTTTAGTCTTTTATTCTAATAAGTACTATGATTTAGTATAAAACTGTTATTGGAAATATTTATTTCAACAATTCAAATATATTTAAATAAAGTTGGCCATCCATCCTGCACATTCTATGTTTTTTAAATTCATTATGTCTTTTCATCAATTAAGCAAAGATGATAAGTTTCATCTCCAATCTATCTCTCAAATTCAGTTTTGAAAGCTAGCAATAGCTTTGAATTTTGTTACAGTTTCAACTTTTAAGTTCCTAGTTTCTCTACCATGTTATACAAAGGAAAATGATGTATGCACATTCTGTCATCACACCCTCTGTCACACACTCACTCCATCTTCATTTCTCTCCGTTTATCTTTGTTTCTTTCATTAACCTAGCAGCTCTCCTTTTCACCCAACACAACTTTCCTCTTCACCCAGCCCTAGTTCTTTGATTTTCTTTCCCTCTCATCCCCCTCTTCTTCCTTTTCTTCCTCACTCCTATCTGGGTTGTAGAATCCAGATGCTGCATCTGGGTTGCAGAACCCAAATGTAGAACCCGATTTGGGTTCTACTAAATAACAAGGTGGTAGAAAAGGAAGGGAAGGAGTAGGAACTCGCCGCCATTAGGTGTCTTCAGAGTTAACGAATTAAGTAACGAATTGAGAGTGTGTAACGGAGGGTGAGGAATTGCGATGTGTGCCAATCATCGTCCGATACAAAGAGCCTAAATAGCTAGCTTCAGCATGAGTTGCAATAGTAGCTAATTAGGACCATGTGGGTAATAAAAAATAATACTAATAATGCATCTATACTATGTTTTAGCTTTCCTTTCTAACATATAAATATTCATTACAATAAAGATAGCAAAGCAAGTTAGACAATTGATGTTTGATCATAATAGAGAAATGTAAATAGCCACCAATTGAATATGACTATTTTTAAAGTAAAGAAAAAATAGAAGAATCTAAATTGTATCACTAAAAGAGCCCAAAACAGGTTAAATAATAGATTATGCACCAGAAATGCTCTAATAAAGTTACTAAGCAATGGAACTAGAGATGATGAGACTTATCCACAAAAAATAGCAATAACAATATGAAACATGGGGCGAGATCAAACAATGCTGAGGCTAAAATGGATGAGCTCTACCCCGTAATAGAAGCAAAGCAACAAATCCACTAATCATTATGTCATAACTATCGCAAATTTTATGTTTAACCAAGCCAAATTCTAACAAATTAGTGATATTGAAGCAAAACTGATGTTTTCTAGAAGTTAAAAAAGGGGGAAGGGGGAACAAAAGGAGCTTATGTTGAAGATGTGGCTTTGTCGATCTAGAACAAGTAGACCGGTAAGTGAACTTCTTAAATTGCCCAAGATCCAAATCTATGGCGAGAGGAGCAAAGGCATTCTTGATTAGGGGAAGCTTTGGAATGAGGATGGAGATGACGTTGAAGATGGAGGCTATGCAACTCGTTGATTTGGAATGAGAATATCAAAAAAGTTCTATTTTTAATGAACACAGCAATACTGGGATGGATTCTTTGGTGGATTTCAACCTGCAAGTTTGTGCGAATTGGTTGACAAAGAAAACGGAGGAATCAAGATGAAAATTAGGGATTTTGGGTTGGTGTTATAATTGGTTTTCTATATATAGTAGTTTATTTGTAAATTTATTAAAATGTGAGGATAAAATGAGGATAGTGCATAAATTTCATTAAACTAGAGCAAAAGCTCCTACAAAAGCACAAAATCTGTACTTCTCCAGTTTTCAACAGACAAAAGGTAAAACTAACTTCTCATCAGCTCAAGTATTTTTCAAAAGTTGAAGTGTTTGGTGTAGCTTGTACTTTTAAATTTAATAAATTCTTCTCACAAGCTGTACCAAACAAGCACTTAGAATCTCTTTGATATCCTCTTCCTCTTAAGATATTTTGAAGAAAGCCACATACTTAATATGGTTCGGCTTGGTCTAGGATTTATAATTTTTTCGCATAAATCCCAACAAAAAATCTAATAGTTGTAAATTTATAAAATTTATTTTAAAGAAATATAAGTGCTTATAAATAATATAATTAAGTATAATTGCTGAGAAAGCATTTTTTAATGAAAAATATAGAAATGTTTTCTTTTGAGTACAATAATCGACTATAATTAAAAAATAATCTCTTCTTTTTATTTTGAAGCAATATAATTAATTATATATAACAATATAATCAAGTACATTTTGCAATGAAATTTGTGGAAAAAAAAATGATTTTCTTGAACCAAGCCATCACTTCCTAAAGTGTGGCTTCTTTGAATTGTTTTTTTCAAAATCTATAGTACCGAATATGTCCTTTAAAAAATAATTCTTTTAGATATGCTACGATGACAAAAAAAAAAGTGTGCATTGCGTAAATAAATAAATAAATAAGGGCTTGAGTAGATTTGACAACACGTGGCCTTAAGTGGATATGTTTCTCTCTTTTTTTACTAATTTTGAATTATATAATTAAAAATAATTTTTTATATTTATGTTTTTATTTAGATATTATGTAATTTAAATTTAAAATTTATTATTTTTAATACATTAAAATCTAAATTATATAATAAAAATAAAATTTCTTATATTCACTTAAAAAAAAT